CGATGTTCTTGCGAGTATTTCAATGGAAGGCAAATAATATGATTTGAAGCAGCATTTGATCGAAAGATACAATTTCCCAAGGAGAGGTAGGATGAGAGTAGAAAACAAGGGAGTAGAAACATGAGAGCAACAGCATGAGCGTTTCAAGGACACAGTGGTAAGAACAGAGTAGTAACGAGAATATGCAGGCAAGTAAGAGACCGAAATATCAGAGCGGCGAAGGTGGTTAGCAAACACACGCAGATAGGAGTACCCAGATCAGAGAGCCCCAAAGATTAGATACGGAACGGATGTTGTTGGATATTTTGGGCGAAGGCAAATATATTGTTGGGCCGAAGGCGAGAGGCATAGAGAGTAGATTGTAGAGCCCGCAGGCGAGAAGCGTAGGAAAACAGATTGTGGGCGGAAGGCTCAAAGCATCAGAAAACGGATTCTAGAGCCCGAAGGCTCAAAGCATAGACATTTCATTCTGGAGCCGATGGCGCGAGGTATCAAGAATTAGATTCTAGAGCCGCAGGCGAGAAGCATCGGCAATTCGATACTGTAGCCGCAGGCTAGAAGCATAGGAAACATCAGTGGACACCCCCATACAGGATGTGGGAACACCCCCATACAGGGGTACTCTCTTATGTTGCGGGTAGGATGTTCTGGGGTACTCTCTTATGTTGCGGGTAGGATGTTCTGGGGTACTCTCTTATGTTGCGGGTAGGATGTTCTGGGGTACTCTCTTATGTTGCGGGTAGGATGTTCTGGGGTACTCTCTTATGTTGCGGGTAGGATGTTCTGGGGTACTCTCTTATGTTGCGGGTAGGATGTTCTGGGGTACTCTCTTATGTTGCGGGTAGGATGTTCTGGGGTACTCTCTTATGTTGCGGGTAGGATGTTCTGGGGTACTCTCTTATGTTGCGGGTAGGATGTTCTGGGGTACTCTCTTATGTTGCGGGTAGGATGTTCTGGGGTACTCTCTTATGTTGCGGGTAGGATGTTCTGGGGTACTCTCTTATGTTGCGGGTAGGATGTTCTGGGGTACTCTCTTATGTTGCGGGTAGGATGTTCTGGGGTACTCTCTTATGTTGCGGGTAGGATGTTCTGGGGTACTCTCTTATGTTGCGGGTAGGATGTTCTGGGGTACTCTCTTATGTTGCGGGTAGGATGTTCTGGGGTACTCTCTTATGTTGCGCGGTAGGATGTTCTGGGGTACTCTCTTATGTTGCGGGTAGGATGTTCTGGGGTACTCTCTTATGTTGCGGGTAGGATGTTCTGGGGTACTCTCTTATGTTGCGGGTAGGATGTTCTGGGGTACTCTCTTATGTTGCGGGTAGGATGTTCTGGGGTACTCTCTTGTGGTCCCCGGTACGAATA